GCAGGACAGAGCCTGTTTCTTGAGAACGGTGGTGAGATCCTGGGCCGATGAAGAGACCGTAGTGGTGCATTTGGCACCAGAAACATCCAGAGCTGAACAGGGGTGGCTCCTGCTGCAGCGGTAACATACATTCCAGCTTTCACAGCTGGGGAGACTGGATTTTTTAAGGCTAGGAAGCTTGTTTATTTGTGGCTGTATTCGACAGTTGTTTGTGGTGGTGCGCGGACTGCCCAAGCTTCCCTGAGATAATCCAGTTACAGGCAGCAACAGCGCAAGCTTCTCAGTTGAGCCAAAAGTCCAGCTGAGTCCGTGCGCATTGCCATGGCACAACTAACGCCACTGGCAGTAGCAGCAGTTAATATTGGGATACAGGCCCATCAGAAAAGACCACCACGTCATTTCAAGCACCCTGTAGAAGTCTGCAGGTTCAGATGCATACCCTTCTCTGGGGGATTAAAAGAAAAAGTTTGTTTCAACTCCAGGAAACACCCAGTGCCAATAAAATGGCTTCTCTATAACAGTCCTATAAAGGAGATCGAAGGAGATAACATCAGACTGGAATGAGATGGCATCAGCTAAAGAAATGGTGCCTGAATTAACAATAAGGAAAACAAGCACAGATGAATTCAGTAGGTATGAAAGTTACTGGGCCTGTCGGGCTGGTCGCTGCTCAGTGAGCTGTGGAGAAACACACCCAGGAGAAAGCCCGCCTGCCCCACGGGACGGCAGCCGGCTCGCAGAGCTGAGCTCTGCCACTGCCATGACCTTCATCGGGAAGGTGGCAGGCAACCATGTGCATGCTTCATAGCTCTGGCTGAGCCCAGCGCCTACAGAGCCTTCGCTGGAGAAGGAAGGGACTTCCCTGAGGCGGTCTGCATGAGAAAACAACCTCCTCCTGCACAGAAAATGGGCCAGAAGGTCTCGCACGAGGACAACCAGGAGAACAAGGCTGAAACTCTAGTCATCTGTGAAATCTTCAGCCAAGGTGTGGTCCATGCATCTCAAAGGCTGAAGGACTATCTTGGTTTTGTGGATCCTCAGAGCAAATTCCAGCCAGCCACAAACACGCTGAGTGAGATCTTTTTGGTCAACTTCATCAGCTTCTGCGTGGAAAAGGGAGTGGAGGAACGTATCACGACCAGCAAAATGACCAAGCAGCAGTCCTCTCTGTTCGGGGTGGACTGGATCTGGACTCTGTCTGGAGCTGACAAGCAAATCAAACTTCAGATTGCCGTGCAGGCTTTACAGCTGGCCGAGCTTTTCCATAGCGAAGGCGGCCCCGCTGAGGTGGTGGAGGACTGCTGCCGGGAAGCCGTGCTGGCAGACGAGCGCTTCCAAAACAGGAGCAGGTTTGAGAAGCTGGCGGAGTTCTGCCGCCTGGTGGGACGGGACTGCCTGGGCTTGTTCGTCATGTT